CGATGGTTGGGCCGCCTACGGTGGCATCAGAACCCTCCAGAGAGCGTTTACACACAGATGGGTCAATCACAAAGTAAACTTTGTTGACCCCAGCGATCGACGAGTTCACACTCAGTCTATTGAAGCCACATGGGGTGCTTTCAAACGGGAACTCAAAGCGAAATATGGCGTCCCAGAAGATCAACTCGACGGATACATGTCGACATACATGTTTAGACGATACTTCGGAAGAAAAAAACTTCTGAACCACCTTCTGATCGAGATGAAGTATTATAAGAAAGAAGATGACTATGATTCAAGTGAATCTGAACTCTCCACGGATGAAAGCTCTGATTACGACGGCGGTGAAGACGAGTCCGATTCCAGCGACCCGAATCATGGAGACGACGATGATGAAGACGGAGCAGATAGTACAGTTGATGATAATAATGGCTATGATGATGATGATGACAATAATGACTATGAAGATAATGGTGATAATAATGATGATGATGATTATGATGATGACGATATCCAAAACGAGGATGAATCAGAGTTTGAGGAAGAGCAGGAGGGAGAGCAAGAAGAAGAACAGGACGAAGAGCAGGACGAAGAGAAGGAGGATGAGGAGCAGGATGAGGAGCAGGATAAGGAGCAGGATGAGGAGCAGGATAAGGAGCAGGATGAGGAGCAGGAAAAGAATCAGGAAGATGAGTACGAAGATGAACAGGAAGAGGAAGATCAATTGACTGAAGCACCGACCACGAAAATCTTCAGAAAAAGAAAACAGTTCGATTCTGATAGAGTTTCATTTGCTCCCAAACAACGAAATGAAAGAAACAATCGCGCCTTTACATTTTCAACAAGACAAACCACAATGGCTGCTCGTTTGAATCGAAATAGAAACGAACGTCGAAGTTCTTCTACCGCTTCTACAATGAGAACCACCACCTCTTCTAAGCCAGAAATGATTATCAAAACCAACAGACCAATTTCGTCAACTACACCAAGGCAAACGACGACCAAAACTCGAAAACCTCGGAAGAAGACACAAAGTCGAAAAGCTGATCCTACAACCACCATCACAACCACAGCAACCATGAGGACCACGACCACCATGAGAACAAGACGAACAACTTCCCATCAGTCGAGAAGAACCACGACAGAACCTCGTACGAAACGGACGACGTCTGCCCCTGAAACGAGACAAACAACCATCACCACTCAGAAGACTCGGAATGATAGAAGAAGACGCGGGCGGCCCACTACCACCACTCCAAGATCGACTACCATTACTCCAAGATTCACAACCACTACTCTAAAATCCACTTTCACCGGCCGAAGGAAGTTCAAAGGACGCGGATAAGATCATCTTGTTGCAACCGATATTCTTTTTTTTTGTGTTCTGAACTATTTATCCTCTCTAATTCTTATATGCCACACCTTTTAGTCTTATACCTTCTTCTGAATAAAAATCAAAATTACAAAAAAAATTATTTTTAAAACATCAAAACTATTGAAAACATGATTGGAATAAATAAACGTTTCAATCTAACCAAATTTTCAAACAAAAACATGAAAGCTATTCAAATACCCACATCTTTCTTTAAGGACCAGAATTTTTTTTAAGGGCCAGAATTTTTTTTTAAGGACCAGAATTTTTTCTAAGGACCAGAATTTTTTTTAAGGACCAGAATTTCACACTAGAGCCAAAAAATCACCATGGGGTCCCCCACACTTTGAAAATGATTTTTTGAAAATTTTTTGAAAAGTGCGAAAAAACGTTTCAATTATTCAGAAACGATAAAAATAGCATTATAACAAATTTTTTCAGCCCAATGTTGTCTTTGGGCTCAAAAAATCTCAAAAATCTGATTGTTGTTAGAACTTTGACAGTTCCTAATTTCTGAAATATCGCTTGAAATTTACTGCAACCTATAGAAATAGGTTCGAATCTTGTATGTGATCGATTTGACAGTACTCCACCTCAAAAAGAGCAAAATTGAGCAACTTTCAGTGACCGAAATTTGAGTTTTTACGAGTATGTAAGAACCGGTCGAAAAGACATTATCTATTTTTTCCTCAAACTCTCATGAAATCGTTTTTTCTTTGAAACCTTTTGAAATTAATCAAAAAGTGTCATATAGTGCCTAGGGAGGCAAACTTGGAATCAAAAATTAGTTTCAAAAAATGCTTTAAAAAGTCTTACCACAGTGGGGTTCGAACCAGCATAGTCAATCCTAGTGAGCCGCCCTCTTACCACAACACCACACAACCGATATTTTCCTCTCACTTGGAATTGGTAGAGGAGGGAAGGGGAAGCCGAAATCCCCAGCGCACCGAAATCGGCCCAAAATTTCAGACAAGTTTTTCGGCATGGGAGTGAGAACGGGCCAAAAATTTTTTCGTCATCGTATAGAGAATGTCTTAAACTATAAGTATGCAAATTTTGAGCAAATTCTCAACCGTTGTCTAAAAAACCTTCCCTTGTGAGTTCATTCGGAATTAGATCGAATTAAGGAATTAGATCAGCTAAATTCTGTATTATATTAGATCATGCCACGTCTATTTACGAACGAACTCAGATCTAATTCCGAATGAAGTCAGATCTAGTTCAGAATCGTTTACCTGAGTTAGGTGCAAACTTTCAATTACTTTCAATCTGATTTTTTTTTCTCAAAAGTCCAAACTGGGAATCTCGAAATATCGATTTTCTGGAAATACAAACAATGTTATAACACCGATTCTTTCCGAATGTTATCATATCATTTTTCTGAAACTATGAAAAATTTTTAATCAAAAAACAGGTCAACTACTTCGGTTTCTTACTACTAGTCGTTATTCTGCAACCCCACAATTTTGGATCCTCGATTGAACATTCCTGAATTTTCTTCATTTATTGAAGAATTCTGAAACCGATTCCTTGTATCTTGGTTCCTGTTGAAGATATCAAAAAATTGTCAACTGCCAAAAAATGTGTAATATTATAATAAAAATTTTGTTAGTTGACCTCTTTTTGAGATCTTTCACAGGAAATGAGAAAATTGGATCAAAGTTGATGGTTTGACGGACATTCTAGTAGAGTGTTTGCGGTAGTAGGATTACCGTAACTTTTTTTTCGGTTTCTGAAAACTATGAAATTTCAAAGCAATATAAAAGAAACAATGCATAAAATCTGGAAATGGAATACCTGTCTTATGAAGTTGCTATTTTCCAATCTGATTTTTTTTCAAAAGTCTAAACTGTAACACCAATTTTTTCCGAATGTTATCATATCATTTTTCTGAAACAAAGAAAAAATTTTGTAGAAAAATAGGTCAGCTACTTTTTTTTGGTTTCTTACTACTAGTCGTTATTTTGATATGCTACGTTTAGAGACCCACGAATAAACAATCCGAAAGTTTGAAAGTTTTTTGAAGAAGTGTGAAACCGAAAATTTATATTTTGGTTTTTAGCCTCCTTATACGAGTTTCAGACGAATTTTCGGTCAGATTACTGTAGCTAATTTGAAACTCGCACTTGTGTTCATTAACTTGTTTCTTTTGTGTTCACATCCTATGAATTACTTCAATTTTCTCCACTTTCAGCAAAAAATTTATTTGATCGCAAAAAAAATCGGGAAAATTTAAAAAACATTTTCGCGACTTAAAATTTACAAATCTCCCCATGCACGCTCTCCCACAAAACAATTCCGAACTGCAAATTAATTTTTGATCTACAGAAAAAAAGTTTGGCGCGATCACAATTGCAGGTCAAAAACCATAATTTCAGAATTTTTTATCTGATTTTGTGGAGTTCCAAAATGATTCAAATGATGCTTTAAAAATTAATTAGTGGTTATAGATTCATGTATGGTCGTTTTCCGGAAGAAAAAAATCTTAAAAATGGTCATTTTTAAAGTTTTTTACAGAAAAAAATCTATCTCCTCTTTCAGTTTTTGACATTTCTAGGAGTTCTATAGCTCAAAAAAAACCGCAATTATTTTCTCTACATTTTCTATGGACGAATTTTCAATTCGTCTGATAAAACTTTTTTATAATCAAAAAACAACACAAAAATGCTATTTTGTCGAAAACTTTTTTATTTTGTCGAAAAATGTCGAAAACTGAAAGAGGAGATAGATTTTTTCTGTAAAAAACTTTCAAAATGACCATTTTTGACATTTTTCCTTCCGGAAAACGACCATACATGAATCTACAACCACTAATTAATTTTTTAAGAATTATTTGAATCATCTTGGAACTCCACAAAATCAGATAAATTCTGAAAATATGGTTTTAGACCTGCAATTGTGATCGCGCCAAACTTTTTTTCTGTAAATCAAAAATTAATTTGCAGTTCGGAAATGTTCTGTGGGAGAGCGTACCATGTGTGCTTCAAAGACTAAAGTTCCTCAAAAAACAATATATTTCTTGAAATTACGAAACGGAAACATTTTCAGAAACTCCTATATTGTTTCAGAACGCCCAAATCACTGCCGTCTACCGATACATCTCCAGTCACGGCCGTCACGATGACAACTTCCTCGTGGTGGTCCCAAGTTTTCAGAATCAGAAAACTAAAGTGGTGTTTCTCGTTTTTCTAGAACTTTCCATAAAAACTTAAAATTCTTTTCAGACCTCCAAACCCAGAATTAATTTCATGGAGAAGAAAAAAGAAGTTTATTTGGACGAATTCATCAAGAATAAGCAACACGATAAACCACCGAAGACGAGGTTTTTGAAATTTTTAAAAATTCAGATGACGTTATTTTTCAGAATCCGAATATCCGTAAATTCCATCTCCTCATCTCGTCAAACCTTTCTTTTCTTCGAACCATTCCCACAAAGTTTCGCTTGCACCATTTCAAGTATTTATCGCGAACAAGTAAGCATTTCTCCTTCTTCTTCCTTCTCCGCTGTCTCCCGCTAAGCCCCGCCCACTTTACACACAAAACATAGCGGGCGGCGGAACCCGGGAAGCGTCGGTACATGCGCGCACATGTATAGCGCGCGGCTACCGCTCTCTTCAACTCTGGTTCCTCTGCATTTGACCGTGAAAATCTTTCGCCTTTTACTAAAGATTTCCGTGCAAAGGAGCAAACTTTGAGTATTATTACCAATTTTTGGAGTCCCCTCGAAAGAGCGGGACAAAAATGTCACAAAATATCCGAAATCTGGATTCCAGAAAGATAATCTTTATTCCAGAAAGAACAAAGCCAACCGCGCGACAGTTGACGGGGTGGCGTCGAGCCGGAAGCATCGAAAAGGAGAAGTGAATCGTCGGAACGAATCTCAAGAAGTGAGCAGCTTCCAGAACGAGAAGCTCGTTCAGTGTCTGCCCAACCACGTCACAATGGCATTCGTCCCAAGAATCGTATCGGACCCACATCGAACACTCTTTTTCCAAACTGACTCGACGCCTTCTATTTTTTTTCTTCCTTCAAGTGCCTTATTTTGAATATCATGTGTCCCAATTGTTGTCCTCTTATCATCCAAATGTTCCCAATGAGCCACAGATTTCTTCCTATCTCAAGTACAATATTCCTAATAAAGACGAACAATAACACATATTATTGTACACATTGATTTCAGTTCACACATAAGAGAATTGGGGAATCGTGAAATTGGAAAAAAAAGAGAAGAAGTGCGATAGAAAAACAAGAGAACCCCTAGAATACAAACAAAACACCGCAATGATAAAAAGAAGAGGAAGCTGGGAATAATAACTTATCTTACAAGAAAAATGGGGGAAAAAACATTTTCAATAAATTATATTTTTTCGAAATATGGGGGCGTATAGGGTAGTTGGCAATAAAGAAAAAAGGAAAAGTGACCAGTAGGTATAAAATCACAAAAAAAAGAAGTGCGCCAGAACACTATTAGAAATTTAATAATAAATTAAAGAAAAACACACACTATTCCAGAACAACTTCCCGATGAATGTTAGAGTGGACCGACACCATTTTTGGGTTAGCAAATAAAAACACATCTTGAAAAGTATCTGATAAAAACATTAATCACTAGCTCTATCGATCAATCTGCTCTGAATCATTCGTCAAAAAACTGTGCACAATAGATGGAATGGGGGACACAAAAACACATCATTCTTTATTTTTCCTGTTGGGCAGATCGATCGACCACGAGTCAATCTTCCTCGTCGAGATTCAGATCGTCCATGTTGAGATCACCGTTCTCCGCATCTCCAAAGTCGTCATCGGACCACCGATCTTCTTGGACCTGAAAAATTGGAAAGTAAAACTCTATAAGATTAAGGGTACTGTAAGCGGGAGCCAGGCGGTTCAGCCCCGGAGAGGCATAAAACCGACTGGTTAAAAATAATTAATTAGACAAGTAATTATTAATGTACCTCTTGAGGCGCTGGTGCAGACACAACATCAGGCGCAGTAGACCCCCGTGGTGGCACAATATCTGGTCTACTCGTCTCCAATACGACATCTGGTGTTTTTGATGTTCCGAATGCGTCTTCTTCTTCGTTCTGGAACAAAATAGACATTGATTTCTCGTTCCTTCTCAATCTGAAGACCTAATAGGACACTTACCGGCACATGAATCTCTTCCTGGTTGTCACCGAACTCTTCCTCATCTTCTTCCTCGTATTGAGCTGGTTCTGGAGTCGGCTCGCGAACTGGCGTTGGCTCACGAACAGGAACAGGTGATGATTCCCTGGCTGGCGATGGTTGACGAGCCATTTGTGGTGGGACTGGAGCCTTCAATTGTTGTTTCTCCGATGGTGGAGCGTTCTTCAACACAGCCTGTCCATCCTCAGTGAATGACACAACACCAGATGCCACAGCTTCTTCCAACTCTTGTTCGACATTTCTGTTGGCAACAGATGGTACACGGACGTTGGCTGGAACTGGGATCTTGGAGATCTCACGAATGAACGATTCGCGCTTCAACGACTCGGCGAATCCAGGGAACAAGTTCTCGTATTTTACTGGATCAGCGAGGGATTCTCCAATCTTCTTGCTGCTCTTCTCACTGTGGCTCGATGCTTTGTTCTTCCACAAGTCCAAAATCGATTGCACACGAGATGGAGCGTGTGTGCGGGCGAGGAAAGCGGCTTCTGGGAGACGTCCAGTAGCGATGAGCTTATCCAGGCAAGAGTCAATATCACCGAGAAGAAGACTACTGAGGAAGCTGATGTTGTGGCTTTCAGCAGCAGCAGATTCAACGGAGAGCTTTTGAAGAAGCGGTGCAGATCCTGCGCAGGTGGCAAGCAGCATCAAACCTCCATAATCACGAGCTCTCCCGAGACATTCTCCGGCCAGCATAAGTTCAGACTTGAGGGTCGCCGCATTGCTCAGTGCCTTCCATTTCTCCTCGGAATCCATTTGAATCGCCAAATCGTATGCCGTCTTGAGATCCCCAAGAGCAACAGCAAGATCGAATCTGTGATCTGGGTCTTGCGATACAGCCAAAGCTTGCTTTTTGAATCCTTGCTTCTCAAGGAAGTGAGCGACACGAGTTCTTTGCTCCTTTGGAATCGTAGCGAGCACTTTGTCAGCAGAATCGAAATCGCGACGCATAACGGCGGTTTGGTACTCCAGGACGGAGAGAAGAAGCTTGTAAGAGATGACGTTAAGATCTTTGTCGACGGCATACACACGGGATTCCTTCGCCATGTATCCCAACTGAAATTTTGTGAATTCTTTTAGCTAATTTTGAAGAGAAACTTACCAAGTATAGTGGTCTATCAACGTGAGCAATCGTCACGATTTCTCCTCCAACGTAGTAGTTGATTCGGTTGAGAGCCGTCGTGAAAATGAAGCAGTCACCAATCCAGAATCCGGTCTTCACTACTTCAGTTTGCTCTCCGATAACCTCGAAAGCATCCTCGATTCCATCTTCGGTAACATCAGTGGCGTTGGCGACAGCGTCAGCGTTGTACTTGAGCACGTAGAACGACTCGTCTCCACAAATCGCCACCATTTCTCCGTTATCACTCCAGTAGATGTTCTTGGATGTGATTTCGATGCGACGAACGAGCACAGCGCTTTCCCAGTCGAAGAAGCACAAAGAGTTGGTCGATCTGGAATATTATATTGAAATCGGCTCTTTTCGTTAAAAATTCAAACCTCAATGCGAGAAGTGGTCCTCCAGAAATTCCTTCCAACACCATATCGGAACGAATCGACTTGTGATCCTTGAAGTTCTTCTTGATCTTCACATTGGTGGCTGATTCACGAACAGCGAACATGTTCGGGTCGACAGCCCAAACGAACTCAAGGCCCTGTCCGAAATCCTTGTTTCTGAGAGCCATGGCGGTGTAAACGATGTACTCTCCATCTCCACAAGCAACGACGAAGCGTCCATTCGAAGAATGAGCAAGTGTCTGTGGGTAGATTTCAGAAGATCCGAGATCCTTCACCGAAAGTGGCAATCTCTCGCCATCCTGAATTGCTTCCGACTCTTCAGCCGAGATCGTTTTCAAATTGGCTTGCTGGATTTCGGAATGTTTGGCCCAGAGAATTTTTCCGGAAGAATCCATACTGACAGCTGGTTCTTCACGGCCAAGTTTGAGAGTAACCGATCCCTCGTCATATCCAATGGCGACAGTGTTGGCTCCCTTCTGAGCTTGGATACACCAAACGCGCTCCAATCCATAGTTCAGAGTGGTCTCAAGTCTGTATGTGTTGGCATGCCACAGTCTAACAGTGGAATCTTCCGATCCGGTGATAATGAGTGGAAGCTCTGGGTGGAAGCAGACTGAAGAAACGTTCTGAGCGTGCCCATCGAGAGTTTGAACGCAGGTCTTGTTCTGAAAAAAAATTTATTTTCAGTTTCTAATCAAAATTTGAAAAATATTACCTGATAATCCCAGATTTTCACCAAATGATCATCAGCTCCAGAAATAATGTATGGTTTCTCTCCTCCGTGATAATAATCGACACAGTTTACTCCCTTCTCGTGTCCTTCAAGGGTAAAATTTGGAACATTTGATCCAAATTGCCACACTTTGACAGTTTTATCCAAAGAAGCCGTGGCGAATGTGTTATTGTCCTTAGGATTGATAGCAATCTGCATCACATAGTGAGTATGTCCTTCAAACGACTGCTTCATTGCCCATTTGTTGTCCCAATCCCACATTTTGACGAGCATATCATCAGAAGACGAGATAACATATGGAAGTGTTGGATGGACGACGAGCGATCGGAGATAATCAGAATGAGCTTCAAATTGATGAACTCTTTCGAGAGTGTTATAATTAAAGATTCTGATGTGCATATCGTCCGATCCGGTAACGACCCAGCTCTTACGAGGAACGAACTTCGCAGCTCGCACAGGAACATCGCAAACCTAGAAAATTCGTTTTTACTTTTTCTATCCTTGATGCTTTTAAAAACTCACTTCAAAAGACTTCACAAGAGTTTGCGTCTCGTAGTTCCAAATATGCACATTTCCATTGTACAGAGCTGCCAGCAGCCACGTCTCGGTGGGATGGAGATCGACACACTTGACTCGATCACTGCGTGCCAGCAGCTTTCGTTTCACATCGAGTCGAAGCGGCATTCTTCTGCAAAAAATATAAATCAAAATATTGAGAAAATGTGTCAAAAGCGAGCGAAAGAGAATGAAAAAGAGTTATGTCCGAAAAATATGTTTTTCTCTCTTTTGCGAGGCGAAAATCGATAATTCATGTAGCTGATAACAAAAAGAGATGTTTAATTGACAATTTCATTTGATTTTAACTCGAAAAAGCTGAAAAATTCCAGAGATACGGCGGCAACATCATAGAACTCTTGAAAAACAGAGAGGAAGCCTTCGCCAACTCAGAAAGAGAGAATCGTGCCGAGACCCGGCCGCAAAAACTCTATGTTCCTTTAGCTTTTTCGTCTGCGTCTCTTTTGTTTGCACTGTGTCTCCGCCGATGCGGTGGCTGCTTCGTGGCAGATTTCATGGATAAAATCGCTTTCAGAAAACGGTTTTGCAGGAAAATCTCCAAAAAAATTGCAAAAATATGTATTAGAAGATTTTTAAACAAAATCTTCTGTTTCCGTCTTCGAATTTGAGCCAGAGTGCTTATTTTCAGCTGAATTATAAAGAATGTGATATTGTTTTGTTTTTTTTGTCGTTTAAAAAAATCATTCTCTTCATTTTTTCGCTATTAAAATCAAAATTCGGGCTAAAAATCTATTATTCTGGAAAAAAGAACAATTTGTCGCTGTGATGACGTAGAATAAGAGGAACTTGCGAAATGTCGGATGTTACACAGAAGAAGAGGCGACAGACAAAGAGAGAACTTTTGCAGAAACAGATCTAAAGAGAAGACTGTTGATTAAGGCTTTTTTTTGGTTGATTAAGGCTTTTTTTGGGTGTTGCTCAAATTGGGCGTTTTGGAAAAAATCATTGAAAAAAAACTGTCACTTTTATATGTACTTTCTCTGTGGAATTCGCCTTTTTTATATGTATGAAGTATTGTGATGAGCATTGGGATTTAGGACTTTAAAGGGATTCTATCTTCAAGAATCTTCCAGCACCCAACAGACTCTGTAGATTACTATATTCTGTCTCTATTTCCATGCTTAGCAACCGATTTGATAAGTTTGATAAGGGCTTTCTGAGTTACCCCAATCCATTTTCTAGGTCATTTATAAAGGAGGCCAGACACGAAAGTCTACGGGGTTTTCTCGGGGCGAGATCATGTATTCTGACGGAAAATCGTGCGATTGCGACCAATGCGCGCTACTTGACGAGCATTTATTTTTTTTAGAATACACTAAATTTCTTTACTGTTTGGCACTTATTCCCGACTTTTTCTCGTTATTCGTCCATTCTAGGATGTCGCCGCCTGAAAACAGAAAAAAAAACGAAAACGCACATACAGGAGTCGAACCCGCGATGCACGACTGATAGACAAGCACGATCACCTTCACACTATTGTCTATTCAATAAAACGGGTCAAAAAATGGGTCACAATGTTGTAATAGCTCAAAATGTTAATCAGACTATTCTAATAGCTCAAAAAATTGGCCAGGATATTCTAATAGGGGGGAGAATGGCTCAGCATATTCTAATAGCTCCAAAAGTTTATCAGACTATTCTAATAGCTCATAAAATGGGTCAGGAGATTTTAATAGCTCACAAAATGGGTCAGGATATTCTAATAGCTCACAAAATATTTTAGAAAATTCTAATAGCTCCGAAAATGGGTCATCTTGTTTTAAAAGCTCAAAAAATAGATCAGGACGTTCTAATAGCTCGGAAAATGGGTCAGGACATTCTAATAGCTTGAATGATAGGTCAGGATTTTCTAATAGCTCGAAAAACAAGTAAGAATATTCTTATAACTGAAAGAATGAGTCAGGACGTTCTAATAGCTCGTAAAATAGGTCAGAGTGATCTAATAGC